TACACTTTGGTTGAGAAAATCGAACCACTCTAAATCGCTGTGCAACTTCTTTCAATTTTCTGCAAAAGCTTCCACTAACTTTTTAATTGCCAATTCACCCCCCTCTTGGCCGATTCCGTCAATCGATTAACTCAACACTTTTATAGATCAAATGATTGAAAGATTAGCTGGGAAAACTCATTAATGTTGCCTTGATGGGTTTTCAGGTTTTTTCCAAATCCCAATGGCGCCAGAGGATCAAGAAAAAACTACTTTTACTTGTCCCTTCGGTACATTTGCATATAGATGAATGCCCTTTGGTCTTTGTAACGCACTGGCCACCTTCCAAAGATGCATGTTAAGTATATTTTTTGACTATGTGGATGAAGTCTTTATGGATAGCTTCACGGTTTATGGTAACTCTTTTAATGAATGTCTTGAAAATTTAACTAATGTGATTAAAAGATGCTTAGAATATAACCTTGTTTTGAACTATGAAAAATGTCATTTTATTGTTGATAAAGGGTTAATTTTAGGTCATATTGTTTCCTCAAAAGGGATTACGATTGATAAAGCTAAAACAGATGTTATACACTCACTTCCTTACCCCACAACTGTAAGGGAAATTCGTTCTTTTCGTGGCCATGCAGGATTTTACCACAGTTTATTAAGGACTTTTCGAAGATAGCACAGCCTTTATGCAATCTACTTCAAAAGGATCAAGACTTTGACTTTAATTCAAAATGCAAGGAGTCTTTCAATTCATTAAAGGAAAAGCTTATTTCAACTCCAATTATTCAGTCGCCAGATTGGAATCATCCCTTTGAACTTATGTGTGACGCATCGGAAACTAACGTTGGAGCCGTTATAGGCCAAAAAATAGGGAAAGAGCCACATGTCATAGCTTACGCGTCTCGAACTTTGGACTCGGCTCAGAAAAATTATTCGACTACGAAAAAAGAACTTTTTGCTATAATTTTTGCTTTAGAAAAATTCAGATCCTATTTGCTTGGTACTAAAATTATTGTCTTTTCTGATCATGCAGCTATAAGGTATTTGATGAGCAAAAGGAAGAAAAACTGAGGCTTATTCGATGGATCCTGCTTTTAAAGAATTTAACTTGGAAATCAAAATCAAAAAGGGATGCAAAAATCTGGTAGCATATCACTTGAGTCGAATTCCCCTTTCTACATCCGAACCACCACTTAGAGAAGAATTTCCTGAAGAAAAATTGATGGTGGCGCAAAGCATAACTCCATGGTTTGCAGATATGGTTAATTATTTGGCCACATGTAAGTTACCATTATATTTGTCGAGAGCTGAAATCAATTGAATTAAGCGAGAATCCCGATACCATATTTGGGATGATCCTTATTTATAGAAGCACTGCTCGGATCATGTAATTTGACGATGTATTACTGAAAGTGAGGTAAACTCAATTTTACAATTTTGTCATTATTACTCCTGCGGTGGTCATTTTGGGCCAAAACGTACAGCTCATAAAATTCTTAAATGCGGTTTCTATTGGCCTAACATTTTTCAGGATTCTTATCTATTTTGTAAAACTTGTGAAAGATGTCAACGTACAGGTAATTTAAGCTGTAGGAATGAAATGTCGCTTAATTCTATACAAGTTTGTGAAATTTTTGATGTTTGAGGAATCGACTACATGGGTCATTTTACTTCGTCATTTGGAAATACTTATATTATTTTAGTTGTGGATTATGTTTCTAAATGGGTGGAAGCTAAAGCCACTCGGAATAATGATGCTAAAACTACAGTTAATGTTTTGAAAAATATTTTTTCCAGGTTTGGCACGCCATGGGCTATAATAAGCGACAGAGGAACACATTTCATCAACCGAGTAATCGAGTCGGTAATGAAGAAATTTGGAGTAACTCAAAGAATTGCTACCTCTTACCATCCACAAACAAATGGACATGCAGAAGTATCAAATTGATAAATTAAAACAATTCTTGAGAAAATTGTTAAACCAGACCGAAAAGATTGGAGTTTAAAATTAACCGATGCATTTTGGGCATATCGAACTTCTTATAAATGTCCCATTGGGATGTCACCATACCGGCTTATTTTCGGTAAACCATACCATTTACCGGTCTAGTTAGAACATCGGGCTTATTGGGCCGTTAAACAATGTAGCATGGACATGGATGCAATTGGTGAAGCTCGGAAATTACACATTCAAGAACTCGAGGAAATCGAAGAAATGCCTATGATAATGCTCAAATATTTAAAGAAAAAATAAAAGAATTTCACGATAGTAGATTTTCTTTTAAAACTTTTTCTGTCAGTTAAAAGGTTTTATTATTTAACTCCAAATTTTAACTTTTTACAGGAAAACTCAAATCAAAATGGCTCGGATCGTTTACAGTTACTCAAGTATTTCCTCACGGTGCTATTGAAATCAAAGATAACTCAGGAGTACGATTTAAAGTTAATGGTAAAAGATTGAAGCCATATTATGAAAATTCTCCGGTTTGGTCTAATCGAAGAAATAAATTCCACACTTTGAAAAATCAGGTCGTCGAGCTAACGACGTTAAACAAATGCGCTTGATGGAAGCAACCCATTTCGTTTTATTTTCATTTTATTTATTTTATTTTATTTTATCAGATGCTTAATTTTATTTTATTTTTCTCTGAACAGATTCGAATTCCAATATGACCATGATCATGGCCGCGGTCGCCACTAGATTGGGGTGTATTCCTTTTCCCTCTCTTTGATTTTAAATTTGATATACGTTTTTGGACAAAACGAAATAAGTGAGGGGGGAGGATAAACATGTGTCAAAATTTTCCTTTACTTGTTTAATTGTTTGAAATTGAGTTATTCTTATGTTAATATGTTGGGATCGTTGGTTGCTAGTCTTGAATTTCGCTTTATACTCTTGCTTCCTTTAGGATTATGGCCATGTTTTTGATCGAATTTAATTTGCATGATTGGTGATTGATATATCTAGTGAATTTTTATTAAGTATTGATATCATGCTTTTTTCGATAGAGATGAGCTTGACTCAATGCATATAAACTTTTCTTGTGAGATTTGAGCCTAACGAGCATACATTTTCTTTCTTGCTCATTGTTTGACTTGCGCGCAGAACTAATTAGGATATTCTAGAACTTGTAATCACAATGCATATCGAGACTACATGTTGAATGTAATGTTTTAATGTGATAGGGGCACCTAGGATAAATCCACTTTTCCCAAAAAGCCTACCCGTTTATATATCGCCTAGTGAACCACGTTTGAGCCTATTTTCCTTTCTTTGTTTTACACATCATAATTAAACCGAAGTCTTTTTTTTTTTTCCTCTCTTTTCACACTCTTACTGAGACTTGAGATCTTATATCATTGTTGTTCCAGGAAAAAAAATTCAATGTTTCAAAAAAATCGGAAAAAAAGAAGAAAAAAAACCCTTTGTTCGAAGAAAAAAACAAAAAAAGGAAGGAAAAATCGATCTCTTCAATTGTCTTTCATATATTATTTTTCCTTATTTTGTCTTCATTGCGCTTCATGTTATTCGTGGATTGTTCTTATCATTTTGATCTCTTGTTTCGGTATTTCAAACCTTTTTTTCCGGCCTTTTCCCTACCCTAACCTAAGCCTCGTTACACCTCGTCATGGTTTTCAGAACCGGACCGGTTAGCGAACTGGTCATGCTATCGGTTCACTGGTTCAACGGTCGAACAGGTCCGACCGGTCGAAGAATCGGACGACGTCATAATTATTTAAAAATTAAATAAAAATACCAAAAATATTTAATAAAAAATTTATATCACAAGTCATATTCAAAGCAAGTCATAACATTTATAAGTTAAAAACCATAAAATCAAGTGAAATAAAATGATTCAAATTAACTACAACATAATATTTAAGGTAAAACATATTAAATAATAAATATAATTGTATAACTATAATTAAAAAATAAATTTGGGGTTAAAAAATCATAACAAAATGATATTGTTTGGTTTATTTTTTTTAAAAAAACAATCTCACATGGCTAAGAAATATAGAAGAGCATCCCAAAAGTCTAAAGAGTAAAAATATGAGAACAAAACAATCTCACATTGCTAAGAAACATAGAAGCGCATCACAACTAACTTCTATAAATAATAGAGGTAATTTGACATTCAAAATCATGGAACCTTTTGGTGAGCATTGAGTGAATTATTCTTTCACTTCAATCAAGCTCGAATTTTAGGCTTCAATCGAGCTTCTAATTTTTTTTGAGTTCAAGCCTTTTTGAGTTCAAGTTTCAATATTATATTTCGAGTTTGAGTTGAACTTGATAATTTTTAGCTTGTGAGTTTGAGTTGAGTTGAGCTTACTTTTAAAGTTTTCAAGTTCGAGTCGAGCTCAGCAATACTCGAGTTCGACTTGGCTCGTTTAACAAACGACGTTGTTTGGTTTATTTTTTTAAAAAAAACAAAAATCCTAGTTTTTTTTCGGTTTTTAGCTGGTCCGGTTCAAACGGATCAGCGGTTCTGGCTGGTTCACTAATAGCGGTTCAACCGGTTTAGATTGAACCGGACTAAGCAACGGTTCCCGGTTGAACCGGCGGTCCGGTCCGGTTTTCAAAACAGAGCACCTCGTTTAAAGACCCCTTGATTATTGCATTATGTTCATTTTTCGTAGTGGGGACTTGATTGGATTCCAAGCCTATGGTAATATTTTGGTTAGTTTCGGTTTGAGCGATTTCATTTACCCCAAACACTTTGAGCAGATATGTGTGAATCTTTGTGAGGTATTGAGTCATGTTTCATTGAAGTTGGCAATTAATTGTGATATCTTGCTCACTTTAAATTTTCTTGGTTGTATCTTTGCTTGATTGTAACTTGAATTCGAAAAATATCATGGACTTAGTTCGATTGGAAGTTTGAGGAATAAATTGAAATTGAATATGACAACTTATGATTTTGATATGTTAATTCAGGAATGGTTGAGGACAACCATTGAATAAGTGAGGGGGAATTTGATAAGTGTTATTTTAGTTAATATTTTACTTTTAAATTACTCTTTAATCATTGATTTTTGTGGATTATTTTTTATTTTAATTCATTTTCTTTACAGGACGTAAGATTTTGGAAATTGCACAAAAAGGACACAATTCTGCAGTTTTTTTATTTTTGGAATCAAAGATGGCTGGAATTCGGATTTGAATTAAACTCAAGTTTAGGATAATATTTAAACATTATATTTTATCTTTGTATTTTAGTTTAAATAGGTTTTTAGTATTTTAGGTTTTAGGATATTATTTTTATATTTTTTTAGGTATTTTAGTTGAAATAGGGTTTAGGGTTTCAATCCATTTTTTAGGGATTTTAATCATTAAAGATGTTTTAGATGCTATCTAAGCTTCTCAACAAGTTAGTAACCTATATGTTTGATTCTTGTTTAGAGAGAGAAGTTGGAGAAAGCTCTAAGAAAAGGGAAATGAGAAGCTTACCTTAGGTTGAACCTTGGACCATTCCAGTAGTTAGCAAGCAAAGGTAAAAAAGAGGATCTTATAGAGCACAATGTAAGCCACTAATGTGTTTCGGTATGTCGCATGACCTATAGAGCATCTTCATGGTAGAAATCGTAAATAGGTATGTCTCCCTTGATCATACATAACAGTTTAAAGACAATTGAGACCCTTAATAAGACCTTTAGAGTGGAAAGGTTGCATTTTTGTGCCTAAACAAGGCATTTTTAGCAAGAGTATCGGTACTGGAAGAACAATATCGATATTGTTCTTAAAACAAAGAGTAAATTTAGTAGCAGGGAGTATCGATACTGTAGGGTCAGTCTCGATACCCATAGGGTTATATCGATACTGAGATCACTTAACAAATTATAGTAGGCAATTTTGGTATCGATACCTAAGGTGGTATCGTTACTGGTAGCGATGCTCCCTATAGGGTATCGATACTCAGTGAATTATCAAAACGTCGAAGGTAAAAATGGTATCGATAACTAGGGTTGGTATCGATACTCATGGGTCAGTACCGATACTGAAGGCTTGGTATCGGTACCCACGTACAACTTTGGGCAGAGAACTCAACGATTTCAAGAGTGGATTTAGAGGCCCATCTATACTAGAATACTATGAAATTAAACTACAAGTGAGAATGTTAAATTAAATTAGAATAGTTAGAAACAACAATAGCTAGGATGAAATAAAACTAGCCTTGTTTGACGCTCAGGACATGGCTAGGACACCATAGCTACTCTAGCGGATACAGTCGTCCAGTCGAATATCCCAGCCAGTGCCAAGGTACTTAAACCGCCAGTTGGACGCAGATGCCCCAAGAATCGATGGAGTAAGTTGGCAAGGTATAGTCTCTGATGTAGAATTCCGGATCTCACCCCGAGTACCTTCAGGTATTCCAGCATGCTAGAAAGGTGCGTGAACTCCGAGATACAGAACCCTCAGTTGCACCATGATGCCGGCCATAGTAGGACAGATCAGTATCTTATATGCCTTTATACATGTGCCACTAGCCAATACATTTAGTGAATGCATGCAGTATAGTAAAGTTTTTAGTGAGGCACTGAGCTCGTAAGCTCAGCATTCAGAATGTGTTTCTGTGCACAGGTTAGGAGATCGTTCGTGGGGAATTGTTGTCATCAAATATTGCAGCACAATAGATCAGATCCAGTCAATTATCACAGAGTATGTCTTGAGTCACTTGTGGAGGGCATGTACTATTATGGACTCTTGTATTACTTAGTCATAACTTTTGACTTTGAACTCGAAGATGTATTATTATTTGGATGATTTTGGGTGCTTCCCATATTTGTAAAATTTAATTACTATGCTTTTATTTATTCAATATGGATAGATTTTTATCCGGTGCTTTGTAATCAATCACCTTTAAAAGAAATTTTTTTGGTTAACCACTTAGGTGGTCCCGTATGATATGATTCAATGATCTTCGGGTCGGATTGGATTAGATGTTATAATTTATTTTTAAATATTAAAAAAAGGTGGTCTTAATATAACTAGGCGTCCGATTTCAATATTTTAAAATAAATAAATGCTCTACCAGTAAACACCTAAAAATTAAATTAGGTTCAGATTAATAAAAAAAAAAAAAAAAGTTTATTGTCCTATTTAAATAATTGAGATTACGTCACTTAAGTCAAGGATCTAGTCTCGGTCTTTTAAATAATTGGATAACTTTTATCTATTTTAATAAAATGTGTAATTGATTAATTCGTTTATTTCTTTTAGTTAGACCATTAATTATATTTTAATTTTTAAACCATTGGAAGGAATGACAATATTCCTTTATTTCAACTGGAAAATTAAAAATAATCGCCTTAATGAAATTTAAGGATTACTTATTCATCGGTTGGGAATAATACAATAATGTGTATTTCTCAAAAAAAACTCTTATTAATAAATTTTAATATTTCTTACAAATAAAAGATTCATTAATTAAATTTATATTTGAATTCTTAGATTTTTCAATATTAGAGGCAATGTATAATTGAAGATACCAATTCCGGACAATGTGGGTGTGCTATCACGTAATCGACTTTCGAACCCAAAAATTTTATTTTCACATACCAACCTCGTCTTTTAAAATATTTTTATTAAAATTTCTTTAAAAATATATTTTTTGGATATTTGACTTGTCTAATCTCAAAGGTCGACGTGGACTAAAATTTTTCTAAAGAATTTCGAAACATTTTTAAATTTCTGTCAAATATATGACTTTAAGACTTCGCCATGCTAAAAAAGTCGTTATAACAATGACATAATATTGTAACAATGGCTACTACAACAATTGTTTGTGATAAATGAGGATTACCATTAAACGTATAGCTGACTCAATCCATAGACTTATGGAAGACAACATCACGCTGCATGTTCGCAGCTAAAAACTGCAAGTGTCTTCAGCAAAAACTTTAAAAATGAAGTCGCGAAATCGTCTCGAGTACTGCTTTGGATCCACAGCTGATATCGAAGTCGGGTCATACTGAATGGATTTATACGCATGCTCGAGCATTTTGGTAATGTCATAATCTTGAAGTATGTCGATGATGCCGAAGAACATTACAACTTCGTAACACACTCCCGTCCGTTCTCCGACAAGCTGTAGTTCGAGCTCGGGTTTCCTTATCATTCTTTCGACTCTTGCCTGCATGTTAGTGCCTAGCTTGATGCTAGCCCAACTGCAATGTTCATGAGCTACGATCAGCACATGCCTTGAATGCTAAGAAAAAATAAAACAATTACTAAATTTGAAGATATTTTTTCACCTCTTAGGGTCTTGAAGAAGTTGATCCATATCTGTTCTGGGAAGTTGATGAGTTGCATCATTCTGTGAATTGCCTGAAAAGATGAATAGGGTTTGGAAGAATACAATTTGTAACTAATCTTATGAAAATCTTAACAAGAGATGAAAGATAACCAGATGAATTACGTGTTTCACAAGGAATTAGCTCTCCATTAGGCGATATTTCTCTGAAGTGAAGACCTACTAAAAGACTATAGTCCATTGTTCTTTCTTGTTCAAGAAACTCACAGTCCCTGTCGATTTGCCTGTGAAGAGAAACGTATAAAAATGTTGTATATATAGATTTCATGCTGGTTGTTAATCTAGTTAAGAGAAATTGTATTTACCAACAAAACTCTTGAAACCAATATTTTTGTAGTTTGAATATGAAATTGAGATCAAGATCCTTAAGTATGGTAGTATTATCGAGCTCGGACTCAGGCTTATCTGTTATGCGTCCTAATGAAGACCCTTTCAAGTCGAATCGTCTATGGATTGTGTAGTCGGAGCGTAAGAGGTTCCCCATGATAATGAATCGAACCTGGATCGTTCAACCTATCATTTTCTGCATGCAACTTTGTGTATTTAATCATCTTTTTTTACTGATGTTTTACTAACCTTTTTTTGAGCAGGGCCAGTGAGTTTTACGCTGTGCAAGCCGTAATATTTTATTACCAAGGTGTTCTCAAATGATCGACAATGGTTATAATAGGCTGAAAGCATCCTTAAAAACACCTGTAAAACAAATCGATAGAGTTACCACTTTTGTTTTGGACTATAAACAGGTACGAGGAAATCAAAACTCACTTTCGTTTCGGATTTCTTCATTGTTTTGATCATGTATCGATCATCGTTCGTCAAATAAAAGAAGCTACCACTTTTACCTGGGGAGGATAGTTCCCTAAGTGCATCGTTCCCACAAATAGATATCATGTAATCTGCAGGGTCTACCTTGAACAGTTTCCTCAAAGTCCTTTTACACAAATGATAATGTGAAATTTACTTGGTGTTGAAAATTGCAAACTAATCATTCATGAAACTACAGAAATATGTCTAACCTGAATACTACTGGACAATAATCTTTCCATCTGAATTCACAAGATTGATGTGGTGGAGTGTATTTACTTCCTTCAGGAGGAAATCTAGTCCAGATTTTCTCCTTCGGGTCAAATGCCGAAGCCTTGAGATCGAAACCTGTAGCTGGTGCTGGTCTTCCTACAGAATGCCTGATTCCCAGTTGCAGATTAAGCATAAGTTCATAGTTCCTGTGACCTTTGGATATTGTTTCCCCCTGTCTTTTGCCTAGTTTGGGTACTTTCAAAGGTAATCCAAGGTTGAACTTCGGGTTTGTATCATCATACAACTCGTAATCGAAATTCCTTATCGGTTCTCTTAAACTATTGCCATCACCATCATTCTCCCATAAGCTGGTTTTATCTAATGGTCGCTCTATACCTACGCTCGCCCTCCCGTCGACCGACGGTCTTCTCGGCCTGTCCACACCCTTTGTTGAATACCACATTGCTAGTCTCTTTTGGGATGGCATGATAGAAACCCTTTCTCCGTGGCAGATTTTGCAACTCGCCAAGTCGTTATACACCGACGAGGGATCCCATTCGAGATCTGCAGCTGAAGAAGTCTCGGAAGGGTAATACGTCCCATTCTGTTCATCTGGATCTTTACTCCAATTCCCTACATAGAAACTACCACCAGGCCATTGATAAGTCCCGTTTCCTTTCGGCAAGCCATCTTCCCAAAATCCTTCATACTTATTCCCATTGCTCCACATAAAAGTCCCCTTGCCGAAAATCACGCCGTTCTTCCACTCTCCCACGTAATAGTTCCTGTTCTTCCATTGATATTTCCCATGGCCTTCTTGTAAACCGCGGCGCCATTCTCCGTCGTACGCATCCCCATTCGAATAATGCATTAGGCCATGACCATGTTTCAAGTTCATCACCCATTGTCCCTTATAAGTATCCCCATTGGCACCTATATATACACCGGTTCCATCCATATATCCGGTCTTAAACTCCCCTTCATAACTAGCACCAGAGGGCCAAGTAAACCTTCCCCTCCCCATAGTTTTGCCTTTACGCCACTCTCCTATATAAATGCACCCATCTGTCCATAAATACTTCCCTTGTCCATCAGGGAAATTATCATGCCATTGCCCTGTATAATAATCCCCATTCGGGAGAATCTTCTCTGAAAAACATGGTTCATCGGAAGCTCTAACACTTTTATCTTCTTCAACATCGTTTTGAGCTACATTCGCCATGGATGTTATCCCGAAAATGCTATTGGCGCGCTTCTTTGCCGCCTGTGTTTTGCGCATGGTGGCCTCCCATGCTTTCAGGACACTACTTTGCTCTTTGTTCATTTTCTGCAAACTCTTCTATCTTATTAACATGCAAGGTCAAGGGATAAACTATAACCAACAAGCATGAGATTTTGGACAAATCAAAATTAGTTGAAAATTTGTGGGGGTACATTTTGTTGTGGGATCAAAAAGAGTCATATGGATGAACTATAACCAACATGCATGAGATTTTCCGACAAATGAAGTCATGAAGTGGCGATTTGATCTGTGCATTGTTGTATTTAAGTGAAGATACGTGTTCAAATGCCCGCATTAGCCTTTAGTTGACAACTTTTTTCACTGTGAATTTTGTTTATTGCCTAAACAAGGTTAGGGACAGGAACATAAATCTCATATATTATTTCTCTTTGCGAGTCAAAAGGGTGACTTGTTCGCCTCCTAAAACATCTATAGCCCCTACATTTGGAAGGACACACGAAACTTGGATGTCTGTTTTACTATTTCAAAGTTATGGTTCAACCAAAAGAAAATGGTACCAGGAATTTCCGTGGCCTCCAACATCCCATTTACACATTTGACTTTGAAATAAACACACGTGATTGATTTTTTTTCCAATACTCTAATGTCTCAATATATGTATCACATTTGATTTTTAGTGATATATTTTGTTTGATTTCTTATTATGTTAAATATATTATTGATAAAAATTATAAAAGCATAATTGAAATTTTAATGGAGTAGATTTTATATATATTAATTATAAAATTAAAATATTTAAAATAATTAATATGAAAGTTCAAATTTCTTTTTAGTAAACGTCAACCATGACATTCTTATTGGGATACATTGTACAAAAATCTTGATGTGTGAAACTATCAAGTATACACTCAGGCTTCGCAAAAATTAAAACTAAAAATATACTTAACATAAAAAATTAAAGCTTAAATTGGAAATTTCAATTTTTTAATTAAATATTAAAATAGTTGTTATTCCGGCTTGCGAATTTCAACTCAAAATCAACCCAAAAGAATTCAAATTCACTCCAATAATCCAACCAACTCCCAAACATGAAAAAATGTTTTTCTTGAATCAATTTTTTTTTATTAATTTGGAATAAATACAAATAAGTATTTGTTCAAAGATAACTCTCAACTACCTAACATTGAACGTTCACACCCCTAATATTATTGCAGCTTGAACTGAGGACCTCAAAAAATAACAATTCCCGGTGGTTAAATCAAATTTCACTTACTCTAGAAGGGTACATAATAACATATCAGATGTCTACAATTTTCATAATATTTAAATTACAAATAACTTTTTAAAATATGAATATCCATTATTAGCATTAAATGAAAATATTATTATCCAAATCGAATATATCTGCAAAAATAGAATGGAATTAAATGTTCAAATATACTATTTGCTAAAGCATAATGGACTTCCAAATATTATTTTCTATATTTGATCCATCTTTGCTGTTGATGGTAATTAGATTGTGCGGATTCGAATATCTGAACTTTCATTGAACTCTTTTAACTCCAGGAAATGCTGACCAATTTGAGGAACTGTTAACAACCAACCACTACAATCATACATCGACTATAGAGAAAGTGAGCACATATTCCATGAAAGAAAAAATAACATTTCTTAAATCGAACATAGAATGTCTATAAGTAAATAGCCAACATTTGATCTCATGAGACAGAATAGAGGTTGCCATTACCTGAAGTTGACGTCGAAATCCTTACTCGAGCAAATCAGACACTGAAGTTCTTCTGAACGCATCGACTTCAGCCAATTGAGCAGCTAAGTACTTATTGGGGAATATGTTTTCTGCAAGCATTCTCTCCCTGATTCCATAAGCTGGAGCTTTGGCATTTCTATATGATTCAACTAGAGTTTGGAACTGTCGAAGTCGAGCAACATATCCAGCCTGTTTCATTCTATGGAGCATTTTTTCTGTATTATGGATATCACCCCTCTTAGAGTACTGCTCCATCACAACCATGAAAGAATTAAACATGGGCTTGGCTTCCTCTGCCTGGAATGCCTTTTGCAAGATCGAGTCGGCTTTTTCCAATTCCCCAGCTTCCACATAAAGCTTCACATGTGCATCCCAAGTCAATGGACCGATCTGGCACCCATTATCGGCCATTCATTTAACGAGATCTTTCCCTTTTTGCAGCATCTTATGGTCTGAGTATACCTTCAACATCTTGGTATAATAATTAGCAGGAAGCCTTTTTGATGTCTCTAACAACCTATCGAAAACTGCCTCTGATTTTCAACTTGACCCAACTTTCCCCAAGCTTCAACGACAGCCAGATACTCTCCAAAGCAGGGTTTTGATTCACAGACCTTCCAAATTCTTTCCACTTCATCAGCCTTTCCAAGTTCAGCATGCAGAGGAAGCAAAAACCTGCAACCCCAACGATTTTGTTTTATGTCGTCCCCTTCTAGCGCCTTCAAAACTTATCAGCTTTTTCTGTAAGGCCTACTGAGGCATAGTGCTTAGCTAGGGTGGACTGTGTAACGATGTCGGGTTTAAAACCTTCAGCCTTCATTGTCTCAACAATTTGATCCATCCCGGCTATGTCATTACATAAACCTTTTGTGTCAATTAAGATTCTATAAGTAAAGGGTGAAGGTTTGATATTTTCTTTCTCCATTAACAACAGCACATCAGCTATTTTCTTCTTGTCAAGCTTCTTATAAAGGAGTAACAGCTGGTTGCAAGCAAATGCTGTAATTGGGAATTCTAAGTCCCTCATTTTGTTAAAGACGGACTCCGCTTTCTTCAAATTGTTGGAAATAACACAGTTAGCCAACAGCGTTCCATAGATTACTTCTCCTCTGAAAGATTTTGGGATAGTCTGAATGTAGTCTTCTGCCTTCTGGAGACCTTGTACTTTGGCAATTAAATCAACTCGAGTAACATAATCTCTCTCAACAAAGTCAAGCTGCTTCTTCATCTCCAACCACTCAGAGAGCTGCAAACAGAAAGGAAAGAACAAAATGCAATCAAGTAAAACCGACAACTTCCTCAACCAAAACCTTACACAATAGAATATCATTTCAACTTAGGCATTGGAAGTAGTAGGCTGTCAGACAGCTAAATCTGCAGTGTAAAAATTAGAAGCCAAAGCAAGTTGCAATCGAATTCTGTTTGACCCTTGAGGTAATAACAAGAAAAATCCAAATCAGGGAAATAACGTTTCTATTAAGAGGATATCCAACTGTCTCTTAATTAAAAGGAGAAAGAAAAGTGAGCCAATTCCAAGGAGAAAACATAAACTAAGGCACAGTTTTCAGAACCTTCTTAGTGCCAAATTTGTGCAACCAAATTTCTGATCACAGTAGCTACCAGAGGCTTAGCAGTATTATCATATGGATGTAAGATTGTTGCAAGAACACCTGCAACTAGACAACTAGACGAGGACCTAAAGATCCTAATGATCAGTTACAATTTTTTTGATTGAGAGCAATTGATGAGTGCACAAGCAAACAATGCATCCAGAAGACATGATTGATGAACGCACAATAACTACTCCTTTGAAAAAGAGAATATACTAATACACATATACTTATAAAAAGCTGGGGATTAATTGCTTCCACATTTACAGCTTATCATCAGCAAAAAGTTGATTTCTTGTTCAACTCATTTTTTGACAAAAATCAATTTATATGCTTTACTGTTTAACTTAATACCATGGAACCATAAACAATCAAGTAATGTTTACCGTCACAGATAAGAAACACAATTTAATGAAACAGTAAAAGTTCTCTTTGTTGCTATGGTGAAGAAAAGGAAAAACAGAGAAAACCAGAAAATCTTACATTTCCCTGTTGGCCTACGATGGAATGAAAATGGGAGTTTCTAAATCTGTACTTACCCATAAATCTAAAAGCTCTCCGGAAAAAAAATTGAGTATAAAATTTTAAAATAAAAAATTAGAGGGGGAAAAAGGTAAACGGATTTGCTTAAATCATATTTGGTTTTACCCTCTACCACTTACAAGCAATAAAAGCATAGCGTTTACAATTTATTTAACATTTCTTTATAAAATCTTATTCAAATCATATTTCTTTATAAAAATTACCTGAATCCTAAAATCACATTGAATGCAGAAGGTAATTTCGTTCACAACAAAGTGACCTTAGTTTAATGAAAAAATATACTAAAAAAAGATACAATGATAAGTCAAATCACCTGCAATGCCCTCCCATACATTCGGCGCTTGCGAAGATTGAAATTTGTTGCTGAAACGTCATCTCTGCTAATACCTTTTCCTTCCTCAACCCACTTATCAAAAGCCTTATAAATATAAATACCTGGAGTAGAAATAATAGCTTTGAATAGTTCCGAGGTAGTTCTCCTTGAAGATGATTTCTTATCATGTACATCCGTCACAGCCTCAAACAATTCCAGTTCATTTGAAGCAGTTTCTTCAACGTCACCAGATAATTCTTCATCAGAATCTAATCCATCTTCAATTTCATCCTTAACAATAGGATTTCCAATGGTGTCAGTATTAGCAGGTGTTTCAAGTTCAGAAAAACCATCTTCCAAGTCATCTTCCTCCCCACTGCTTTCAGCACCAGCTTGGGAAGAAAGACCACAATTATGAATAGGGGAATCAGAGGAAGCATGTTTTGAGTGGTAAAATCTCAATAATGATATACCTTTATCAGATATTGTTTGACAAGAACCAAAATGTTGAAATTCAAAGTCACCGGCGGTTTTGAATAAATGGTGGCTTAGAATTAAAAACATGAGCCGCTAAATATTTTATTATTTAGTAATAAGAATAATTATAAAATTGAATCATTGGACTTTAGGATATTTTTAAAGATTAGTCCCTAAACTTCAACTATAAATACCATAGCTCATTTAGTTTCAAAATCATCCCAAAATCTTCTAGTTCTCTCTCAAGTGTGTTTTGTAAACACCTGTAAATTTTCTCTTTGGTAAAAGATCTGCAGCAGTCCGGAGACGTAGGTAAAATCGGCTAAACTCCGTTATCAATTTCGGGTATTATTTTTTCGCTTTTATTTCG